TTTACCATGTCCAAAACCCTTAATCCTTGGAAGGAAGTGAGAAATTGCGGGCCGGGGGGGGAAAGACGTCAGAACAGAGCTCCCCTCCACAGTTACTTTGCGAGACAGGACTAGAGTGATCTCAAGGGTGTCCTAGGGGCATTAAGAAACAGAAAGAGAAGAACCCCAGAGAACAGTTGTTACCTGGGTGTTGCTGAAAGGGTTTCCCCTTCCAAAACGTAAACAATCCAAATCTCTCTCACTTCAGTCCCCATACACTAAGGAAGAATCTCCAATAAAGGTAAGTGTTATCTGTTAATGTTTATTAAATCATTCCATTGTTTTGTTATGCACTATATGTATATTTCATGTAAAAATTTTTTGTGTTATATTCTGGGTGTCAGGAACGGATTTAATTGTATTTAAATTTTTCTTATGGGGAAAATGATTCGCCAAATCGTAAATTTCGTTTTTAGTAGCTCCTCAGGAATGGATTAATTACGAAAAACAGGGACCATGTACAGTGACCCCGCAAAACGATGCATCACATAGCGATTTTTCCGCATACCGATTACTTTTATCGCAAAATTTTTGCCGCGCAAACCAAATTTAAAAACCCCTTACCGATTTCTCCGAACCTTAAATGTGCCCTCAGCCAGCCTCACATGTGCGCCGTCCCATTGTTACCACCAAAGCCTCTGCGGTAATCCAAGCATACACTCGGAATATTCGTTTTATTACAGTATTTCGGTGCTGTTTCTGGAAATAAGTGACCATGGGCCCCAAGAAAGTTCTGTGAAACCCCTACACCTCAAAGGGTAAGAATCTAAAAAGAAGAAAAATAATTGATAATATAAAGGGAGTGCGAATAGCCGACCTAGTCAAGCTGACAGAAACCCAATCAACATCGCTACTTTTTTTGGGCACCAGAAAGCAATCAAGGAAGCTGTTCTTCCCAAAAGGGTTCAACTGGTTTTCGAAACAAGATCGCAAGTGATGGAGATGTGAAGAACTCTTATGGTGTGGATAAATGAAAAACGAAGCGGAATAGCATCTTCAAGCGATATATGTGAAAAGGCTAGGAAGTTGCATTGAGGATTAATTAAAAAATGCCTCAACTAGTGTAATGTGAGGAATTTCCAAAAAGAGTTGGTTAGAGATTAAGAACGTAGTGGCACCATAGTGTGATAAGGCATGGTGAGGCTGCCGTTCGGCCACAAAGCGGCTGAAAAATATGGTGAGGAATTCAGGAATACATAGAAACTAAAGGGACTGAAACCTGAACAAGTGTGTAATTGTGAGAAACAGGCCTGTTCTGGAAGAAAATGCCAAGCAGGACCTACTTACTTGGGGGAAAAGGCACTCCCGGGAAAATAACCTAGGGAAAGACAGGCTACTTTGTTGATGTGTGCCAATGCTAGTGTGATTGCAAGTAAGCCTTTATTAGTGTACACTCTGAAACCCCAGAGCGTTCAGGAAAGGGAATGCCCCAAAGGATAATTTGGTGTGCTGTGGAGGCAAACAGTAAGGCATGGGTCACTAGGGAATTTTCTATAATGGTTACACCATGCATTTGCCCCCAATGTGAAAAATTCCCTAACTGAAAAGAAATTAGAACTTAAGTGCCTCTGGTGTTAGACAATGCCCCTGTCATCCTACAGACGTGGAAGCGATTTTGGGGAATGGCTCATTAAGGGAGTTTTTGCCTCTAATACCACGCCTCTCTGAAAGCCCATGGGCCCAGCGGGTATTCCACTTCAAGAAACTGTACAAAAAAGCTCTGTTTGAAAGGGCTTTGAAATGACTCAGAAACCACCTGACTCTAAGAAGTTTTGAGAGATCATTTAATATCCTAAATTGTGTAACCTTATGGTAAGGCTTGGGAGGAAGGGGGCTAAGAGGACCTTGAACTCTGCTTGGAAGAAATGTGGCAGAATGTGAAAGACAAAGGGATTTGAAGGGTTTTGAGGCTAACCTGAGAATCCTGTGCCAGTTGAGGAATCCATTGTGCATTGGGAAAGCCTTGGGTTGGGGGTTTAGGGGGAGGATGTGGAAAAAGTGGTGGAGGGACAAGAAGAACTAACACTGTGAGTGTAGATCAACTTCAGAGCAAGAGGCCGACCTGGAAACTGTTCAGAGGAGGGGAGTGAAATTGAAAAGTTGCCTACTACAAAGATAAAGGAATCTGTGCTAATGCTTGAAGTGCAAACCTTCATGGATGAAAAAATCACCCCACACAGCTATTGCAAGCCGTGCTGGTGATTATTACACTGACAATGTTGTGAAACACTTCGGGCAAGTCATAAAGAACAGAGGTACAGGCCACTTGGACAATATTTTGGCAAAAGAAGCCCAGTGGATCTGAAGCGCCCTAGTGGCTTTAAAAAAAAGAAGGGAAGTAACCCCGGGAAAAGGACTTACTACCTCAAGTCCTAATGGAAGGGATTCCCCTTCTAAACAGTAAGAAGATAATGTCTCCCCTCCTCCCATCCCATCATTCATCACCAGATCTTAAATAAAAGTAAGTGTCATTTAATTGTGCTTTGCCTTTTTTTTCAGTTTGTGTGTATTAAAATTAACATTTCATGTGGTAAAAAAAAATTTTTTTCATACTTTTGGGCGTCTTGCACGGATTAATTTGATTTCCATTATTTCTTATGGGGAAAATTCATTCGCATAACGATTATTTCGCATAACGATTATCCCTCTTGCACGGATTAAAATCGTTAACCGGGGTCCACTGTACTTCACTTTTTTTAATGTCTACTTTTCAGGCATCTTAGACGCATTCAATAATGAAAAAATGCTCTTTTCCACCTACTGGTGATTTTCGCTTACCGCATGGGGTCGGAAACCTAAGAGCACTACAAACGGGGCCCTCCTGTACTCTAACAGATTTGGAAGAAGTATTAAGGATGTATTTTAATTGCAGTTAAATAAATTTCTATGAGAAAATAATTGTAAATACAGCACATGTATAGAATGCTAAGCAAATTAGCTAAATAATATTTTAAGTCTTATTGGAATTATTTGTGTTATTACTAAAATCCAGAACATTTCCTCATACCTGGTATACCTGTTTATCCTCCTCTTTTTTTTAACAAATGTCATATCTTACTAAATTTCGTTCTGTACATAATTCAGTTAGAGGGCCCCACATTGTTATTTTCCCCTGGCACTCCAAATTTGCCTTCTATGTCCTCTCTGATAATTTCTGTCCAGTTTAGCATTTAGGTCACAGAATTATTCTCTCATTTAGTTCAAAATTTAAACTCCCTAAATATTAACTTAACACCCGTCCAAAGTCTTCTCTTCTATCCACTCTTCTTGCTCCTTGGTGCATACACTTATTGTAACCCAATTTGTACCTCTCTCTCCTTACATAATTCTTGAGTTTAAACATTTATAGCCCTACTTCCTTTCCACAGTTCATCATTTAATATTACTGCCACTTCTTCTGATTTAATCTCATTTGCTCCTCTTCATTGATATTCTCTCACCCCTTTTAGCTTTGTTTTGCTTAGTGCTAGGACTTCCAGCTTCTTTTTACTTGTAACAATCATTCCTATCATGTCTTTATTGCAATTTTGCATGGTCAAACAACTGAACTTTGCAGTTTCCTCATCTATTTTTTTAATGATTTGCCAGGCCACAATTTAAATGTACACTTGTACTAGGTAATGTATGTTACATATGTTTTTATTTTTTACTGTTGAATTAGCAGTTCTGAATGACCCTCACAAGTTAAGCACTTTTATGAATACAGTCATCCCTACAAATTCACAAGAAGCTACTTTCTAGAGGTGCCATGAAACTAAGATGCATGAATAATACAGAATTAAGTCTGCATAAATTTTATTTCAGAATCAGGTTTAGTTTCCGCTTTAGACTTGATATATGTAGTATGTCACACTAATATGGTCAACATTGACATAGGAAATAATGACGAGAATAGAGAGAGATTTGGGTGTGTGAGTTGGATAATGGAAATCTGCAAAATAAGAAGCCCACAAGTTTATGGCGACAACTATACCATATTATGGTACAGTGCGTGCCCTAACTTACGACATTAATACCTTCCAGAAAACTTATCATTAATTGATATTTCAGTACTTGAAAACTATTTTCACATAAGTAATGTAAAATAGATTAATGCTTTCCTGAGTCCTAATTTTCCATATTATTATTATTATAATCAAGGGGGAAGCGCTAAACCCGGAGGATTATACAGCGCCTGGGGGGGGAGGGGAAAGGGCCATTCAGGCTTAATTCGGGGAACTGGAGCACAGATCCAATTCCCTAAATCAAGAGCCCCTCACCAACATCAAGGAACCTTCCTTGAGGGGTAATTTTCCATATCTAATATCAGTTATTCTTATTCCCATAAGATTTTTTTTTTTTTTTTTTTTTTTTTTTTTTTTTTTTTTTTTTTTTTTTTTTTTTTTTTACCCAATCCTTTACCTTCAATATGCTCTTTTAATTTCATATACATCATCTCAAGTATTGTAGCATAAACAAGGCATTTCTGGAACATTTACATTAAGCCATCAGTCAAAGCACTGTCTTCAGTGAATGCTCCTCTTAGACGTTGGTACGTGTGAAACCCTCGTAAATCAGAGCCTTACTGTACAGGTGTTTCACCAATTATAGTATAGATGCATTCCAGCTGTAAGATTGATCAGGCTGCAAACACTTGAGTGTGCATACTAAGAATCTTCAGTACTCTTTGTAAACCATACTGATCACATGGTGAATGTATGCCACATACACAGAATTTCTGATGGAAATAGAGCACTGCAAAATAATGAATGCACAGAAAGTGAACGAAACCTGTACTTTATTATTGCAGTTAAATGGAATATTTGTCTTATTTTTTCAAATAAATTCTCATCTTTCCTGTCTTAGCCTATGACACTCAGTTTAGTCATGTATTTATTTATCTATTCTTTTAAACCACTTTACATCACCTTATATTTTTTTCCTCATCAGTTATTAAAAACACTTTGTTTTGTGGTTCTCAGGTGTATTACCTCACCTGTGTGTATGCAGCATGGCCGGAGTGGTAACAGCTCAGCTCCCGTCTTCCTCTCCCTGTATCTACACTGTCAATGTGGCTGATAAACCCTTCACTGTATGTATTAACTGTAGTTTAGAAAAATGCTTTGTTATATGCATTTCTTTTTTAAATTTATCTTCTGAATATAGAGAAGAGTGTGTCTACTGTTCATGATTCTACTGTAAGTTTCCCCATTGTATTGGGCAGTGTATTAGGAATAACCACTTTCAGGAGTTGGGTCACATTGCACAGGCATGCACATGTATATATGTATATACATACACAAATCTAGGTTTTTCTTTTTTTTTCCTTAATAGTTCTTGTTCTTCTTTATTTCCTCTATTCTCTATGGGGAAGTGGAAAAGAATCTTTCCTCCGTAAGCCATGCGTGTCGTATAAGGCGACTAAAATGCTGGGAGCAATGGACTAGTAACCCCTTCTCCTGCAGAAAATACTAAAAAAGAGAAGAAAAACTGGGATGCTTGAATTTGCATGGATGTAGTGTGGATGATAAGAAAGAGATGATTGGTAATGTTATGAATGAAAAGAAGTTGGATGTCCTAGCTCTAAGCAAAACAAAGCTGAGGGGGGTAGGTGAGTTTCATTGAGAAGAAATAAATGGGATTAAGTCATGAGTACCTGAGAGAGTTATAGCTAAGGAAGGGGTAACAATAATGTTGAAGGATCAGTTATGGAAGGAGAAGAGGGAATATAAATGTATAAATTCAAGGATTATGTGGATTAAAATAAGGGTCAGATGCAAAAAGTGGGTTAAAATAAGTGTGTATGCACCTGGAGAAGAGAGGAGTGTAGAGGAGAGAGAGAGAGATTTTGGGAGATAAGGAAGTGTGTAGGAACTTTTGAACCAAGTGAAAGAGTATTTGTGGTAGGGGACCTAAATGCTAAAGTAGGAGAAACATTTAACCCTTTCAGGGTCCGTGCCGTAGATCTAAGGCTTTATGTTCAGGATCCAAACCGTAGATCTATGCCATGAGCTCAGCTCACTCTGATAAGCTGTGAGTGGTAAATTTGGGCCTAGATATGAGAGAATACATCTATGTGGTATGTGTGCACCACATAAAACAAATCCTGCAGCACACAGTGTATAATGAGAGAAAAAAAACTGAGACCGTGATTTTCGATTAAAACAGCAACTTTACAGTGTTTTTTGTATGTTTTTTATAGTTGTATTTGCGATTTCTTGGTCTCATTTGATAGAGTGGAAGATATATTACAGAAATAGAGATGATTTTGATTGGTTTTAATACTGGAAATGGCTTGAAACTGAGCTCAAAGTAGCGGAAATGTTAAATTTTTGTCGATGTTCAAGAGTAAACAAACGACCTCACACATCTAATACACGCCAGCTGGTGGGTCTAATATACATTCACAAATGTGGTGATGATATTTATACAATTATTACAATATTTCATAACAGAAATCTTCTATTTTTTGGTTTGAATAAAAATTCATTATGTGAATAAAAAATCAAAATGGAATTCATTTGTAAAGCCTGAAAACGTAAATAATGAACTGAGGAAATGTTAGTTTAGTGCCAGGAATGCCTGCATTGTTTATTCTGGACCCTATTTTGAAATTGGAATATTTTGAACTTTGTGTTAAATTGGCCAAATTACCAATTTCCAATAACTTTATTTTGTAGTTGAAACAGTTGACTGGGCGATTTCTTGTGCTCAATCGATAGAATAGAAGTAATACTAATGAAATAGCTAAGAATTTGGTCGACTCTAATAATGTAATTGGCCTAAAATGGGAGTCAAAGTGGGCAAAAATCGCCGATTCATAAATATCACTGACACATCAAAATTCGCAAGAGCATAATTTTGTCAGTTTTCCATCAAAATTCGTACTTTTTGTTTTATTACCTCCAGAAAAAATTCTCTACCATTTCATAAGAAAAAATAAATTTTGGGGGGAAAATTCTTGAATCCTGGTGCACACTTTGAAATTTGACCTCTGGACCCTGAAAGGGTTAAAGAGGGTGTGGTAGGTAAGTTTGGGGTGCCAGATGTAAATGATAATGGGGGCCCTTTGATTGAACTTTGTATAGAAAGGGGTTTGGTTATAGGTAATACATATTTTAAGAAAAAGAGGATAAGTAAGTATACAAGATATGATGTAGGGCATAATGACAGTAGTTTGTTGGACTGTGTATTGGTAGATAAAAGGCTGTTGGGTAGCCTTCAACTGTACATATTTATAGAGGGGCCACAAATATATCAGATCACTTTTTAGTTGTAGCTACAGTGAGAGTAAAAGGTAGATGGGATGTAAGGAAATTGGAAGCAGCAAGTAAGAGAAAGGTGAAGGTTTATAAGCTAGAGGAGGAGGCAGTTAGGGTAAGATATAAATAACTATTGGAGGATAGATGGCTAGGAGAGTATAGGCATTGGGGTAGGTTTAAGAATGTAGTGTTTGTGTTCAGCAGAAGTTTATGTTACAGGAAAGTGGGTGCGGGAGGGAAGAAGAGCGATTGGTGGAATGATGTAGAGAGAGAAAAAGTTAGCATATGAGAGGTTATGACAAAGTAGAAAGTGATGCAAGGAGGGGAGAAGTAAAATGGAGAGAAAATGAGAGGTTAAGAGAGTCATGAAGCAATGTGAAAAAAGAGCAAGTGAGAGAGTGGTGAGATGTATCAGCAAATTTTTTGTTGAAAATAGAAAAAGTTTTGGAGTGAGATTAATAAGTTGAGGAAAAACCCAGGGAACAAATGGATTTGATAGTTAAAAATGGGAGAGGAGGTTATTAAATGGAGAGTTTTGAGGTATCAGGAAGATGGAGGGAATATTTTAAGGAATTGTTAAATATTGAAGATAGGGAAACTGTGATTTTATGTGTATAGGGCAAACAGGGAAAAACATCTTGGTTGAAGTTTTTTCTTTTTTCAGGCCACCCAGCCCTTTGGGGGGAAGTGGCTGATGTGTTAATAAAATAATAATAAAAAATCCTAGTTGCATGTTTAGCAATTTTCAAGATTATAGAGGAAGCCCACTTTTTGTTTGTAAAATTTTTAGTTGTTTAAGTAATTTCTTGAAGCAAAATTAAAAATAACTCGCATAGAGTTTGAATTTTTTACAGCGGAACCCCGGGTTTTGTTTGCCCTGGTTTTCATCAAATTCGGTTTTCGACGACTTTTTTCATCAAAATATTGTCCCAGTTTTCGTTCATCACCTTGGTTTTTTTTCCGCTGTACCGAATGTGTCCGTTGCCGCGCCCACACCAAAGCATCCCACACACGCCTTCTGAGTCAGTCTGGCTTTGGGTTTTCATCAAGTGAACATTACCCGGTATTCATACAAAACATTTCATAATAATCCATTGTTTTTTGTGCTTGTTTATTGAGTGTGATTGCTCAGTAAGTCACCATGGGGCCAAAGAAAGTTCCGAGTGCCAGTCCTTTGATAAAGAATGTGAGAAACACAATAGAATCAGTGGTGGTAGAGGGTAGTAGTGGTTGGATGGTGGTAGTGATTGTGGTAGAGGGTGGTAGTGATTGTGGTAGAGGGTGGTAGTGATGGTGGTAGAGGGTGGTAGTGATAGTAGTAGAAGGTGGTAGTGGTTGTGATGGTGGTAGAGGGTGGTAGTGACTATGGTAGACAGTGGTAGTGATGGTGGTAGAAAGGGGGTAGTGGTTGTGATGGTGTAGAGGGGTAGTGATTGTGGTAGACAGTGGTAAATGTGGTGGTAGAGGGTGGTAGTGATGGTGGTTAGAGGGTGTTAGTGTTTGGTGGGAGAGGGGTGGTAGTGATGGTGGTAGAGGGGTGGTAGCGATGGTGGTAGAGGGGTGGTAGTGATGGTGGTAGAGATAATCTTTCCTCCCTCTCCGCTTCTCACCATCTTCCATATGCCAACAAGAGTCTTCAATAAAGATAACACTGATTTTAAATGTTCATTTATCCATTTCATTAGTACTTTATATTTATTTCTCATTGTTTTCTGTATGTAAAACTATAGTTATTCTCTATAAAATGTATTTTTTTGTTAATATTTTTGGGTGTCTGGAATGGATTAATTGGCTTTACATTATTTTCGGCGAATTCGGTTTTCGTCAAACTCTCTGGAACGAATTAAATTTCGAAAACCGAGGTTCCACTGTATTTTTTTTAATAGATATCCTAATTACTAAGCAAATAGCATATATTAGCTTTTCTTTTTTTTAAAAATGTTTGCATCTTAGTTGTGAATTTATAAATAATTTCAGTTGGTTTAAACTTTTGAACATGTATAAATTTATATTGATATCTGCAAACCATTTAAACCCTTTCAGAGTCGACGGCCCTTCGAGAAACTTGTTCTCAGGGTTTCCAAATTTAAAAAAAAAAAAAAAATTATTTTTTCTTATGAAAGCTAGAGAATCTTTTCCCGATCATAATGACACCAAAAGTATGAAATTTGATGGAAAACTTACGGAATTATGCTCTCGCGAAGTTAGCGGTCTCGACGATGTTTATGCATCGGTGATTTTGCCCACTTTGAGCCCTATTTTCGGCCAATTCCAGTGTACTAGCGACAAAAGTCATTAACTTTTCGCTAGAAAATCCATTTTTTCTATCGAATGAGTACAAGAAACCACCCATTTACCAATTTCAACTATCTAATACAGTGGTCAGAATTTAGCAATTTTGCCAATTTCACACAAATTTCAAAAGATGACAATTTCCAAATAGGGTCCAGAATAAACAAGAAAGACATTCCTGGCACTAAAATGACATTTCCTCTGTTCATTAGTCACGTCCCAATGCCCCTCTTACATTCTTTTGCTTTCCACTTTGAATTTTTATTCTCACAAAAAATAGATTTACTGTTATAGATTTACTGTTATGCAGACTACTGCATTAGTGTAAAAAATGGTATAAATAATATTGGCGCACTTGTGAAAGAATATTAGACTCACCAGTTGACGTGTATTGGATGCTTAGCAAAGATTTGTTTACTTTTGAACTTTGGTAAAATCGAACATTTCTGCTACTTTGAGTCCCAAATTTTAAGGTACTTTTTTATTGTTAAAATCAGTCAAAATCATCTCGATAGAATGAAACCAGGAAAACTAGAATACAACAATAAATACCATACGAAAATACAGTGCAAAGTCACTGTTTTAATCCAAAAACACGGTCAAAGTTTTTTTTTGTCTCATTACGCACTGTGTGGTGCAGGATTTTTTTTATACTGTGCACCCCTGACCACATAGATCCATTCTTTCATATGTAGGCCTACCAGCTTTTTCTCACTAGATTTGAGGGCGCTAGAATTTAGGCGTACTAGTACGTCAAAAACCTGGTGCGTAAGCCATACTAGTTACACCAAAACCCTGAAAGGGTTTAAATGTTCTTTCTATAATAGAGACATTGATGCACACAAATTTCAACAGGAAGTTGATGCAGATATGCACATGAAGTGTTAATGGTGTTAATCTTTTTTTAATTATGCATTTTTTTTATGTAACAGCATTATATTTAAAACTGTGTGTTAAAATGAAAAGCTTTAGCTAACTGAGAAAATTTCAACTTTTTTGATACTCTCATGCATCAAATTTTCCTCCTTGACAAACATATTTTGCCAAATGTTCAGATGAAATTTATCTCATTCAAGCATTGTGATTACTGTTTTCTAGAAAATGTTTATCACAAGGGTTTAGTTGGATGAATAAAATTTGTTGGAAATATGTTATCACTTTCCTGTCAGACCCTGGAATAAATTCTTAAACATTTTAATTTTATAATAAAATGCCATAGAAGTACCCGTATTGTATTTTCTTTTCTTTTGCAGATGATGACATATGGAGGGAAAAAGCACAAAAATTGACATTTGTTTCAATTTTAAAATTATCGGGATCACACAGTGTCTTTGCTTGAAGACTGAGTGGCATTTGATACAGCATAATACAAGTATTGAAAAAATATCTGCAAGAAATTTAAAAGTGCAGCTCTTTAATTCATACAGGCTTAGCACTTTTGCTTTTATAAAAATAAAGATTAAGTTATAACAAATTTATTGCGAGTCCTATTTGATTTTCCTTCACTCTCAGCCCAGTAGGATGGGGTGGAAGTTTCACAGGCTCAGTGCATTTAGTATTTTCTTGAAATGAAATTTTGGGGAGATTGGGGTTTCTAGTCCCTATAGTCAGCTTTCACTGGATAAGGCAGTTCTTTTTTTTTTCCTGTCCTGTATTCAAGGGTGTGGGGGGACAAAGAGTGACGAAGCTAGTAAAGGGCTCTTGTACAATCTTTTAGAACCGAAGTATCTAAAATATGTATCACTCAACAGAAGCCAGATATTTAATGTTACTAAGTCATGAATTACTTTCTCATCTATTTAGCATTTTCAAAATCCTGTAGTTCTGTCTAACTTTCTGTCTTTCATCTGTTTCCATTTTTCTTGGAGCTTCCTTTTCATTTCTTGAAGCTTTAATCGTTCTTGTTCTTGTTTTGCTTTGTGTTGCCATTCTCTCTCCTCTTGTTCACTTTTCAACTGTTGTTCTCCCCGAGTTTGATTCGCTCTTGACTGATCTCTAATCACTGACCATTCGTTGTTTCCCTCAACATTATGATACTGCAAAAGATCAAAATTTAACATGTTAAAAATTCATTGTCTTTAAATGTAGTAAATGGGAACTGAATTAGGGCATGAATACAGTGGAACATCGGTATGTGACCTTAATTAATTCCAGAAGGCTGTTTGAGTGCCGCTCCGTTTGAGTATCGAACAAGCTCTTCCCAACCAATTTTCTGTTTGGTTGGCTGTTATCACTAATCTTCGTAGGTCCCATGGTGACTTATTTATACAAGTAATACAAAAACACCAAAAAATGCGAAGAAACATGAAATAGTTTACAGCGAAGTTCTGGCAGGTCGTATTTGTTTGGTCACGTGCTGAGCTTTGTTTGAGTACAGAGCTGGTCGTATACCGAGGTTCCACTATATTAACAATCATTTGATGATTAATTTTAAATGATGGCCTTATTGTTTATGATTCACAGAAGGCTGTAAAGTCTGAAGATAAATTTAAATTGAGACCTGTCACTAGGGAGAGGTTATACATTAATCCATCCATGGCTTTTTGAGGTCTTGCTCCTAATGTGTGTAGTAAAGTTAAATACTGTATTGTGTCTGCATGCAGATACTAATGAGAAAATTAGGAAAACAAGAAAAGAAATAGGAAAATAGAAACCATAGCATATTTAATATGTCTTTCTTTCTTTCTTTCAACACACCAGCCGTACCCCACCAAGGCAGGGTGGCCCAAAAAGAAAAACAAAAGTTTCTCTTTTAAATTTAGTAATTTATACGAACAGACATCCCAGTGCATCGTTTCAGCGTAAATAGTTGAAGTGTTGTGCAGTTTTAGAGGGTTTGGTGTTGTTGAGTCAGGACCAGTCAGTGCCTCCCCCCTCTCCACTGGGGGGGAGGGGGAGGGCATGTGTAGTAAACAGTGACCCTCTCATAACTCCTCACCCCTGCGCGTCTCCCCCGCCTCACCCACCCAACTCCCAGCACCACCCCATCTGTAGAGGGTACTTCTCCCCTAACCCACGATGTCAGTGATGGGACTGCAGGGAGTGCCATGCTCACAGGAACTTCCACTACAGGGACAGCATCGTTAGTTAGTTCAATATGTTTATTATGCACCCTGTACCCATCCTGTGGGCGGTAGTCAAAAGATTACAGAGGTACATAACTGGTCCAGGGACTGGACTCCAAAGTTTTGATAGCTGAGCAAGTTACAGAGGTAATGAACTAGATCTGGTCATAATCATGACCAAGTTACAAAGGTAATGAGCTCCAGGTAGAGCTGGTCACACTCATGAATAATTGCAAAGGTAATGAATCATAAACACATTAATCATGAGAATTTACAAAGGTAATGAGCTCCAGGTAGAGCTGGTCACAATCATGACAAGTTTCAAAGGTAATGAATGATAAACACGTTATGACATGTAGGTAAGACACATAGGCAACAGTTAGGCAACTTTATTCCGAAATGTTTCGCCTACACAGTAGGCTTCTTCAGTCGAATACAGAAAGTAGGCAAGAACAGTAGAGATGTGAAGACGATGTAATCAGTCCATCACCCTTGAAGTCGTAGAATTTGAGGTTGTCAGTCCCTCGGCCTGGAGAAGTTCAGTTCCATAGTCAGGAACTATCTGACTATGGAACTGAACTTCTCCAGGCCGAGGGACTGACAACCTCAAATTCTACGACTTCAAGGGTGATGGACTGATTACATCGTCTTCACATCTCTACTGTTCCTGCCTACTTTCTGTATTCGACTGAAGAAGCCTACTGTGTAGGCGAAACATTTCGGAATAAAGTTGCCTAACTGTTGCCTATGTGTCTTACCTACATGTCATAACGTGTTTATCATTCATTACCTTTGAAACTTGTCATGATTGTGACCAGCTCTACCTGGAGCTCATTACCTTTGTAAATTCTCATGATTAATGTGTTTATGATTCATTACCTTTGCAATTATTCATGAGTGTGACCAGCTCTACCTGGAGCTCATTACCTTTGTAACTTGGTCATGATTATGACCAGATCTAGTTCATTACCTTTGTAACTTGCTCAGCTATCAAAACTTTGGAGTCCAGTCCCTGGACCAATTATGTACCTCTGTAATCTTTTGACTACCGCCCACAGGATGGGTATGGGGTGCATAATAAACATTTTAAACTAAACTCTTACAACACGCATGGCTTACGGAGGAAGAATTCTGTTCCACTTCCCCATGGAGAATATTTAATATGTATACTGAGAAAATACAGCATACATAAAGTGGTGCTATTAAATTAAGTGACCACTGATTAAACCATTACTTTGGGAAAGCATTCGTTTCATTCCATCACATAATGCATCCATGGCTGACCTGCGGCAAAGCAACAAAGAGAACAAAATACTGTACTGTAAACACCAAAGTTTATTTTTACTAACAATAAGGAACATAATGACAAGACCTACATATATTATCAAAAGGGATCTTGAAACATTTCTTTACGCATATCCCCTTCCTTTGACACAATCTGACTGCCTTCAACTTCCTGAAGCTTTATTATCCTGTATAAGTTTTACATTTCTTGTTGATTAAAGTAAAGATTATATGATGATTTGCAAGCTATACTGAACTAAAAGTAGCTTAATGACCCACACAGAATTAGCAAATTTTAATAATAATAATGTCCTTAAAGCATGTAGCGTACAAATATCTTCAATGTTTGCATTTCATTTTATACCTAACATTACCTTCTTTTTTTTTTTAATATTATATTCTCTTATACCTCCATGGGGAAGTGGAACAGAATTCTTCCTCCGTAAGCCATGCGTGTCGTAAGAGGCGACTAAAATGCCAGGAGCAAGGGGCTAGTAACCCCTTCTCCTGTACATATTACTAAATATAAAAGGAGAAACTTTCGTTTCTCCTTTTGAGCCACCCTGCCTCTGTGGGATACGGCCGGTGTGTTGAAAGAAGAAAGAATTCTCTTATATTCTTTTCTTTTAGACGTACTCAAGGTAAATACTGTAGTTATCTCGTTTTAAAAAAACTCACATGGTAATAACTTTTTCATTTATCTCAGTCTCTCTTGTTTGACTTATAAAAAGATCCTATCTCTATTTGTAGAATTTGCTTTGAACTGTATGTACCTTCTGATATCAGTGAATTGCAGGACAGTGTATTCTTTTAACTCCATGAGGGCATTCTGCTTAATGTACAATTCAATTAATAATCTTTAAACTTTTAAACAATGATCATGAATAATGAACAACAAACAATGCAGTTATGAAAAACCTTTCATAACCTGCCTTTTGTATTATGTACTCATACTTTAAATAATCATAATTAGGCCATGCCAGAATTACAGCAGATTTTTCATTGAAGTAATGAATGATTACAGTAGTCACTGTCCTCTGTTTTAAGTATAAAAGACTTTCAGTTTTACACATCAGTACAGTAATTGTATTGGAAGGCATGCAGTTATAATCTCAAATTCATACATTTGTCATACCTCTTTCTTTATAAGATGCTAAGATATAACTTAGAAGATTAATGTTACAGCTGTTGTCTTTAGTATTATTGTAAGCCATTGGATCATCCTGAAAGGGAATAAATATTAAATGCCTGATATACAGTAAAGTCTCTAAATTTAAAAATATTAAATACGGCCTTTCCTCACTTAGTCATGCGCTCGTTTACCAACGACTCGTACTTACGACAGGCTCTCTGGCCAGTATGCATACCTAAATAATGTATATTAAGAGCTGATTTTTCTCTATTCTGTTTATTACAGTATACAATACACTACTGTATAAACATTTAAAAATATCCCAGAAATGCTGTAAATGATGCAAAGGTGACATTAAAACAATCTCAATGATGGTTGACACAAACCCATTACCATTGTAGTATGCTCCTTACTTAGCGACAAATTCACTTACCAACATGGTCTTAGGAACGGAACTCCATTGTTAAGTGAGGAGAGGCTGTATTCAGAAACTTTTAACAATTCAAGTAGAGTACTCAAAATAACTATTTGAAAATAGCAGTTATTGTTATACAGTATTGACATAAAAGCTCTAAACCCTATGTAGATCTTTCTACTTTGCAAATTGTACATTTTACACTAGTCTTTTCCTTCAAGGGAGGTACTTTGATTCTAATGAAGGGCTCTTGATCAAGGGAACCAGAGCTATCCTCCCTTTCCTATGATCAAATCTGGCTGCCTCTTATTCTCCAGGCTCCTGTAAGACCCCCTACACATTTACTACTACAGGTTCAGATATTGTATCTTTCTCTTCTAGTTACTTTAACTTCCTTATTCTCCTGATTTTGTTCTGTATTCCTACTATTATATAGAGGGAAAGCACTAAACCCCTATGGGAGGCAATCAGGTTTGATTGAAGGAAGGGGAGGACAGGTTCACTTACTTGGATCAAGAGCCCATCATCAGCATCAAGGAACCTTCCTTGAAGGGGTTGCATTCTTATTAATTTCAACAAATGTTGCCATCTCTAGTTTCTTTAATCCATGAAGAAGGGGTGCCTTGATGCTAGTGAAGGGCAGCTGATATAAGGAATTTGAGCCACCCTTCCCTTCCTTGTATCACCCTTGATTACCTCCAATTTCCAATATGCTGTATGATTTCTGTGGGTTTAGTATATTCTCGTGAACTGAGTACTGTAAAAGTGATATTAATATTTTATGTTTGATACTTATATGTGCAAAGGGTGACTGGTATTTTAGCCATAAATTTGGTGGTACAACAATATTTGTAGCCCAAAAAAAAAAAAATCAGTTTTTACATTTCATTCACAAGGGACTTTCTCAAGTACTTGTATTTGCTAAAAACTCTAGTGGGTGTAACATCTTAAAAAACAGTTTCCACTGTTACGAGTGTCTTTAGATCATTTGTTAGCCTAGTCATTTATCCACAAACCATAAAATTACATTAATATTCTCCAAGTGAGGAAAAGGTGACATTGCATAAATACTGTATTAGGCCAGAATTCATTAATTACAACAGTCATTCAGTAAATAATTCTGATAAATGGCATAAGAAATGGTTCTATGCCAAAAACTTGGTTAAATAATGTTTAATAACCAATATTCTTCATACTGTAAAGCACTGTTCTGCCATACTTACCCTCAATCCCCTAAAACCATGGGCAGTTGTTGGTGCCGCTGTTGTAGTAGAAGTAGTTGTAGTTGGGTAATGGTCATTAATGTTTTTTATTATCCAGTCATAGTGTTCAGGAATATTAACATATACACCTGGCACACCATCTTCACCACAGCCAATACCCCAGGCAGTCATTCCCACAAGCAGGTATCGTTTTGGGTCATGGATCTGCTGACATGCCAAAGGCCCACCACCATCTCCCTATAATCAAGGAAAAGTACTGCATTAAGAACTATATTTCTAATGTACCTAAGAAAATATTTAACTACTGGTACTATGGAAGGAAAGCATTTTTGAGATTTGAAGAGTGTTGTGACCCATATCATTCTGTGCTCTTGGCACTCAACTATAATACTTATGACCTCTGCTTCAGTTTGTCTTTACTTTTTCTAAGGCTATTTATTTTCTGTGGTAATATTCTCTTATTTAAATCTAATATAATACAGTGGACCCCTGGTTAACGATATTTTTTCACTCCAGAAGTATGTTCAGGTGCCAGTACTGACCGAATTTGTTCCCATAAGAAATATTGTGAAGTAGATTAGTCCATTTCAGACCCCCAAACATACACGTACAAACGCACTTACATAAATACACTTACATAATTGGTCACATTCGGAGGTAATCGTTATGCGGGGGTCCACTGTACTCTGTTTAACAGTCATGTAACTTTTTCCAACATAATCTCTTGACGATACCGAATTACCACATGGTAAATGAATATGCTGTATTACATTTACTGGAAGAATCAATTAGATATGCTTGGATTTTTAACCCGGAGGGTTAGCCACCCATCATAACCCAAGAAACTCGGTGAGTCATTGAGGACCAATCAACAAATACCCAGGTACCTTCTTACTGCTAGATGAATAGGGACAGCAGGTGTAAGGAAACATTCCCAACATTTCCTGGCTGGGGATTGAAACTTGGACACTCAGCATGTGAAGTGAGAACATTGCCTACTGTGAATTTGTATTTTTTTCCAGTTTACTTTTTCTATTTAAATTCTATTTAAAATTCTCCACAATCTTGTATGAGAAAATGTATTATTTTTATTTGCTTAAAAAAGTACAATTTGATAAAATTATCCAAAAAAATCTGGCAGACTGGTACTAACACAGCCCAAAAATAATACAAAAATGCTGCCTATTAATACTTAGGGTTTGGAGTTGGCCTGGTGGGCTCTGGTGGCCTGGTGGCTAACGCTCATGCTTCACACTGCGAAAGCCTGGGTTCGATTCCTAGCCAGAGTAGAAACATTGGGCGTGTTTCTTTCCACCTGTTGTTCATGTTCCCCATCAGTAAAATGGGTACCTGGGTGTTAGTTGACTGGTGTGGGTCACATCCTGGGACACTGACCTAATTTGCCCGAAATGCTGAGCATAACAAGGGGTTTTCTATATACGTACATACTGTACTAGTATGTCACTGATGTCAGCTAGGCCTGTATACCATGTACATGTGCATAAGAGGCATTTACTAGTTATTATCTGGGAAACAATTTGTTTAATAAAACTGGTGAATTGTAATGTGCACAACTCTGAGTGACAAGCTGCCACTGATGCTGTTGATATTGACGTCTCCACCGCTACTGCTACCTCCGACGTTAACAAATTATGGGCAGTCGCTCTCCAGCACCAAGATGCATACATTTACTGGCGCCAACCACACACCAATGATAAAAGTTTGAAACTTATCAGATAAGACATTCTCCAGTAATTGATCTGATAGAAACATTTCCACGTTTTTAACTATTTCAGTAAAATATGAAATTTGCACCTATCTGGACTAATGGGTTATCATCCATCTTACAGACTGCATCACCAATGATAATTTGGAGACAATCAAAAGAAGCATTCTTTAGTCATTGAATAAAATATAATACAGTAATTACTTTTTATTCAATAAAATTAGCAAATTGGGACTGCCAGCCAACAGCAGTGTGAACCTTGCATTTAAGAAATCACACAAATCTGTCTTTGCAGAGGCGCTCAGATACGACAGTTTAGATGTAACTCCAAACAGCCAATATCCCAAACTCCTCCTTTAAAGTACAAGCATTGTATTTCCGATCTCCAGGACTCAAGTCCAGCTAACTAGTTTCCCTGAATCTCTTCACAAAATATTACCCTACTCACACTCCAACAGCTCGTCAGGTCCCAAAAACTATTCGTCTCTATTCACTCCTATCTAACACGCTCACACACACACTTGCTGGAAATCCAGGCCCCTCGCTCACAAAACCTTCTTTACCCCGACCTTCTAACCTTTAACAGGACGACCTCTACCCTGCCTTCCTTCCACTACAGATTTATGTGCCCTTCAAGTCATTCAACCTTATTCCATCCTCTCTAAATGACCAAACCACCTCAACAACCCCTCTACAGCCATCTGACTAAAACTTTTAGTAACAATTAAAGCCTGTAATTGTTTTACATGATGGTAGGATTGCTGTTGTCTATTGTCTGTCTAATAAATATGCAAGATTGCAGGTACGTCTTGCTACTTTTACTTACAAGAATATTGTCCTAACTAAACCTAATGAAACACCACTACATCCCACTGACACAGCTAACAAGATAAACGACTTCTTCTCAACCATAGGAACTAATCTTGCCAATAAAATCTCACATACCAATGCCCATGCTGGGGACTACCTAGATGGGAATTTCCCAAATTCCTTCTATCTTGCACCAACTGAGCCCTCGGAAGTCACCGAGATTATAAAGTCACTTAAAAACAACTCAGGGAATCTGTCTAATGTCCCACCATTACTGTACAAGCGAGCGGCCCATATCCTTTCGCATGCTATTTCATTACTTTTTAACAAGTCACTAGAAACTAGCACCTTCCCGAAACTACTCAAGATGGCAAGGGTTACACCAATACATAAACGTGGTGACCCTACAGACTTAAACAACTATAGGCCAATATCAAACTTACCATTGCTATCCAAAATCTTTGAGAAACTTGTGCACAGGAGACTATATTCATTTATAACAATACAAAACATACTCAACCCCTGCCAATTTGGATTCAGGAAAAATAAAAGCACTAATGATGCAATCATAAAAATGCTAGATCTACTTTACACAGCATTGGAAAATAAGGAATATCCACTAGGAATTTTTATTGACCTAAGAAAAGCTTTTGACACAGTAGACCACGACATCCTACTCCACAAACTTGACCATTATGGTATAAGAGGCCATGCGCTTGCTTATTTCAAATCTTACCTTACTAATAGGTATCAGTATGTCACCATTAAAGACACAGCATCAACAACACGGCCACTTGATACTGGAGTTCCGTAGGGAAGTGTCCTTGGTCCCCTGCTCTTCCTCATATACATCAATGATTTTCCAAACGTATCCCAACACCTGAAACCCATTCTCTTTGCTGACGACACGACTTATGTCATCTCTCACCCTAATCTTGCCACCCTCAACACCATTGTTAATGAGGAGCTGATCAAAATATCGACTTGGATGACAGCCAATAAACTTACGCTTAACACTGACAAAACCTACTATATTATGTTTGGTAGCAGAGCAGGAGGTGCACAAATCAACATTAAGATCGACAACACTCTAATTACCAGACATAATGAAGGCAAATTCCTAGGCCTATACCTTGACAACAACCTGAATTTCAGCACCCATATCCAACACATAACCAAAAAAGTATCCAAAACAGTTGGGATCCTCTCCAAGATACGATACTACGTGCCGCAAACTGCCCTTATCACACTATACCATTCACTTATATATCCATACCTCACCTATGCTATTTGTGCTTGGGGATCAACTGCAGCAACACACCTAAAGCCAATAATAACCCAACAAAAAGCTGCAGTAAGAATAATCACTAAATCCCATCCCTGGCAACACACCCCCCCACTCTTCATAGATCTAAACTTACTCCCTGTTCAGTACATCCACACTTACTACTGTGCAATCTACATCTACAGGAACTTAAACTCCAATATCAACCTTGACCTAAAACGCTTTCTTGATAGTTGTGACAGAACCCACAGGCATAACACCAGACACAAACATCTCTACGACATTCCCCGTGTCCGACTAAACCTTTACAAAAATTCAATGTATGTCAAAGGCCCTAAAATCTGGAACACCCTACCTGAGAACTCTACAACTGCAGACACATTCATCACCTTCAAAACTACCATTAGAAAACATCTTATCTCCCTGATACACCCCATCAACTAACTACACGAATACCACCTGGTGGTTCACACTTACACTCACTCACCCATTTGACCATAAACAGAAATATTAATCTCAATCTTAAAATAATGAATCCTATGATACTCCAATACTGAAACTATGTACTGTGCCAAAACAAAAGCATTCACATTGCTAAACTCACAAACTAGTATTTAGTCACTTAGCCATAATACCAACTTACCTCATAATTTGTAATATTTTAAAATAAAGAATTAAACTAAGTCTGCCCGAAATGCCTAGCCATGCTAGGCGTTCTAGTGGTACACTCTGTAATCATTATTTAACTACATGTAAACCACACAACAACCAAATTCTGTAAATTCAACATTGTAATCTTTATAGAGAATAAACTTTGAATTTGAATTTGAATTTGAATACACTTAAGTCACACTACACTTACATGTACATGATTGTTTATACACACTCATCTGAGTTTTCTTTGATTTTATCTTAATAGTTCTTGGTCTTATTACTTTTCCTTTTATATCCATGGGGAAGTGGAATAAGAATCTTTCCTCTGTAAGCCATGCGTGTTGTAAAAGTTAGCTAAAATGCCGGGAACAATGGGCTAGTAACCCCTTTTCCTGTAATAATTACTAAACAGAATAAGAAGAAAATTGTCAAAGTGGGAAGTCTGAATGTGCGTGGATGTTGTGCAAATGATAAGAAAGAGATGATTGTGGATGTTATGAATGAGAAGAACTTGGATGTCCTGACTTTAAGTGAAACAAAGTCGAAGGGGGTGGGAGAGTTTCAGTGGAGAGGAATAAATGGGATTAGGTCAGGGGTTTCAAATAGAGTTAGAGCTAAAGAAGGAGTAGCAATAATGTTGAAGGATAAGTTATGGTGGGGAAAAGAGGGACTATAAATGTATTAATTCAAGGATTATGTGGAGTAAAATAAAGGTTGGATGTGAAAAGTGGATTATAGTAAGCATATATGCACCTGGTGAAG